ATGCAAATTACTATAAATCCCTAATTTCCTGTCTCTTATACACATCTGATGTGTATAAGAGACAGGTTTCAATCGTATATTCAACATTCATTTTTCGTTTTACAACATCTGAACTAGATCTTTGCCATTTAAAATGAAAAAAGTTCTAATAATAATAATAACAAATATTTATATAGCGACAATCAAAGGTGCAAAGTGAGAAAATAGGCAAGTTTCTTCTATCTTTTTTCAACCAATGAAATTATTGTATTAGGTGGTGGGTGCAATGGGACAATACGATGGAACAAAGAATGCACGAATGGAACTAAATTTTCATCATGAGTGGCGAATAGTGTAAATAACCAATGTCACGTGATACGAAATTCAATAATGACAGGATCTGTTTAGGTGTGTTATAATGACTAAAAAATACATATCATGGTATTATGTCAACCTCAATTTTTTTGTTTTCTGTTTTACTCTTTGGTATTATTGTCATTAACTGCTGTCTCTTATACACATCTTAATAATTATCAATATAATCATCAATACTTGTAGTCCTATAAATTCGTTTCAGTTTTTGTTAACTAATATATACTTGAAAAAATAAAATTAAATTCAGTATTTTAATTGCTTACTCTGGAAATGAAAACTCATAAAAAATAAGGTTGAAATTGACTTGCTCATTTTGCAGTAGCATCAAAATTATTAGCTCTTAGACTTGAAATTATCGAATAAAAAAAATTGTACCCTGATTTGTATACTGGACTATGATATTGATAATAATGAAATACTATCAGTGACTGTAAGTGTTTTCCATTTTCCGCTGTAAACATTATTGAAATACACTATAATTCTTGTGTTCAAGGTAATAATTTTTGTGATGATGTTTTATTAGCTTACCAATTCACAGATGCATAAATAATACACTGTTACTATAATATTGGCGCAGACAGATGACTGTCAGTAAATGTGAATGTTTCGCTGTTGCCAAAAAAACATCCATTTTTCATCAATGTCATCATCATCATCACTATCACCATCACCATCATCATCATCACCACCACCATCATCATATTCATCATATTCATTCATATCGTCGTCATCATCATCTTCATCATTACATATGGAGCTCCTATGTGCTGATGAAAAACTCCTATTTAAGAAATTTACAGTTATTGTTTGTCAAATGAAATCTATAATATGGCTTTATGAGCTATTGATGGATCTTATTAGTATAAGAAACAACTGCAAAGACATAACAAAACAATTACTGTACGTTGGAAATAAAGAGAACATGTTATTGTCAGAAAGGGACGGCCAACTGCGTTTATTTTGAATGTTTGAAGCTCGGTTGCAGTAAAAGTAAAATCGCTAAATGATAAAATTATTTATTCGAATCCCAGAGCATTTCACACTGCGTAGTGATGGCAGTAAAAACACTGTGGCACCGCTTGTGGAAACAAATTACTGTAATGTTGCCAAAGGATAGAGGTTGTAGGGATCGAGTTTTGGCACATTTCTGCAAAATTTTTGTACATTTTTTTCGTAATATACAGTACTGTATCAGCATGTATCAGTTACATTTCGAGCTATAACTTTACTTGCTTTCCAATTTAATAAGGGTTCTGGTCTCATATTTTGCTAATACTTAGATTTGCCACTAGAGAAACAACTCAACCATGAAGCTATTGCTATAGAAATAGTATTTGCTACTAAACAGGTTGCGAAAGAAGAATAGAAAAAGGACACATTATTGAAGTTTTTTTTTAAAATTTTAATTCACATAATTTCTCCAAAAGTCACTTTACAGGCCTAGGCCACTATTTCCGTTGATATCAGAAGCCAGATGAGCCTATAATACATTCATACATCAATGTCCATTGCTATTCTTTGCCAGTTGCGGAAAAGTTTGCAAACATCATTGAAATGTTTGTATCTGTTATTCAGAGCTAATAAAATGAATTACAAACTGAATTATTTTACATTGCTTGAACGTTTTATACGAACGGGAAAAAATAATATTGTGTGGGTTATTAAGCTTATACAATGCTCACAACTTGCTGAAAGAAAGGTAAGGCAATATTTCTAATACTGTATATGATTTGGAAGGATATGCTAAGTTTTGATATCTATAAAGCAGTAAATGTTAGCCGATAGGACGCTTTGTGATGATTAGTAAGGGCGTACTCCGACCCTTAAGGATAGGGAAATTTGAGTCAAAGCCAGTAAATTATACAGTACGGTACACTTTATTAGGTGGTATATAAATAATGAATGTTTCAATCGTATATTCAACATTCATTTTTCGTTTTACAACATCTGAACTAGATCTTTGCCATTTAAAATGAAAAAAGTTCTAATAATAATAATAACAAATATTTATATAGCGACAATCAAAGGTGCAAAGTGAGAAAATAGGCAAGTTTCTTCTATCTTTTTTCAACCAATGAAATTATTGTATTAGGTGGTGGGTGCAATGGGACAATACGATGGAACAAAGAATGCACGAATGGAACTAAATTTTCATGATGAGTGGCGAATAGTGTAAATAACCAATGTCACGTGATACGAAATTCAATAATGACAGGATCTGTTTAGGTGTGTTATAATGACTAAAAAATACATATCATGGTATTATGTCAACCTCAATTTTTTTGTTTTCTGTTTCACTCTTTGGTATTATTGTCATTAACTGATTTGCGTTGTAAAATAATTATTTCAAACACTGTGACTGTACATAGAACTTACGCTAAAAACTAAAACATTATGCGTCATAATCTAAATCTTTTTTGTCTACTTGTACTGAATTTGATCCTGCGTTATATAAAGCGTTATCGAAACCGACACTTCCCATTCCAGTTGGATCGCTGTGTTTCCTCGTCGAACGGCCAGCAACGAAATAAGTTATTATAATCACAAGAAGAATGGCCGCCAGAGCTGCAACACATAGCCCAGCAATCGCACCTGCTCCTAGTGGAGCTAAAAAAGATATAAAGTTAAAATTGGTTACAATACTAATACTAGAGCAGTCACTCCGGTGCGTGCATACCTCCGGCCTGTGCGTGAATACTGAAAAATACGCAGGCCGTGTATAATAGGCAATTCAATTGTTTTCCGCCCTGTGCTTGAATACTAAACAGCATTCTTGAAAATGCATATACGGTTAAATAATGTTCGTTGTTTCATGTCAAAGGCATGGATGGGCTATGGCGTGACAGATTTGCTGCAGTATGGAATGTATCGACCATTATCCCTTCATGGATCGCCTAACATAATACTATGATGACGTAACTGCGCTCGTTATCGTTTCCGTACGCTTGCGAAACCTCCCTAGCAATGCATGTCCAAAAACACACAAATATAAGTTGACAGCATCATTATAGCAATGCCTAATAAATTGCTAAACTAATTTGTAGCACAACAGTATAAAAGAAAAATCGACCTAAAGCATCATTCTTATTAAATTTTTACTAGAATTACTAATAATACTGAACAGCCACGTAGACAGGGAGGGGGTGAGAACCATGCCCCCTGATAATATCAAAGATATGTAAATTAAAACTAAAAGCAACAACTATTTTTATAATAAAAAAAAAACAGTTATTGGGGGGAAAACTGGTCAATATTAACACCCAATGACACAGTGGTAGCTCAGGCCTTTAATTAAATTGATTTATTAAATTAAATAGCTCTTTTAAATTCACGGACAGAATATTGTTTTTATTCTGATGTATCTATATTTTATGCTGAATACGTGTTATTCTCTGTTTGTGTTTGATGTCTGGAGGGAGGCATGTAGCATTCAATTCATTTACTGCATGATAAAAATGAGCGAGTCTTGCTACATCCTTATTTTATACTCAGTCCAAACTTGAAGTGGGTGTTGGGACTCTTGGTACTTCGACCACCATTTTGCAAAAACGTATTTGATCTACTAAAGTCAAAGTCAAATTAAGACTTAGGTGGGTATTAATAAGCCTGCTACTCACTCTCTATTTTCCCCAAAAAATAAACAAACACCTATTTGATCTTAATTAAAAATTGAACGACTTAATATGAAATTAAAATAATTTCGAATAAATAGTTTAAGACTGAGAATGCAATTTCTGGGTATATTTTGATGTAGGCCCTATTTAAAATTGAACGTCAGCAATACTTTCAAATATAGCCACTTAAAAAATATGATTTTATATCTAAGCGCTATATTTACGTTCAACTTCAACTTTGGCGGGACTGATGTTGGTCTGGCCCTTCTAGTACTTGGCCTCTCGGCAAAGGTAATGTGACCCCCTACCCCTACCCCTACCTCCGATCTAGCTACGGGGCTGATACTGAAGATAATACATTGAAGAATATTTTCCGTGGGTATTTTTTTTTGTAATGAAATGTGGTTGATCTTTAAACCTGGTTTCCATGCAATCGCTGCATGCATTCGCCTAAGCTTTTGATGATGCCGATTGCTCGGCCGAATCGGGGAGCCTTCCCGATTTTATCAGTGACTGCGACGCCGTACAACGATTGCACTGAAAAGCCTGTAGCGACAGTGCATCGATTTTAAGAAAACCAGACTTAAACCATATTTATAGAGGATGACACTTCCAGTGTACCCTAAAAGGTCGGTTGATATTCAGGTGCCCTCTTAAAATTAAGAAAATAACGTGATCATTAAAAGTCTTAGTACGAGGTTTAGGAAGTGGAGATGTGTTTTAGTCATGTCACAGGATTAGAACCCAGGACCTTGGAATTGGAAGGCAAGCATTTTAATCAAATAGCTACATATCCTCTCCATTGATTAATTATTAATTAAGTTATTGATTGATACGTCTGCTTTTCTATAGAATGAAATGATATTATCTCGTTGAATTAATAGTTGAAATATATTCCTGTAATAATATCTACTTACTTTGGGTTTGCTCATTACTTCCGCCGTCCTTGTCCGTCGTTCGTGGTGGTTGTGGTCTCCTTGTTGTTTTTTGAGGCGGCGGGGTTGGTCTTTCGGTATTTGACTTCTTCGTCGTTTGCTTAACAATCGTACGATGGCGCTGTGTAGTTTTCGGAACATTTGGTTTTGTAGTCATTCCTGTGAGTGGAGCTGATAAATATATAATTATCAAGATAATTCATTTTTTTTAAATTACACTAATTACTATGTTAAAGTTGGAAATGTTGATGCTTCATAAAGAGCTATTTTTAAATGATTTTTTTGGCCACTGGTATTTTGCATGGGACAATTATACTTGAGCTGAGCTGTTGCTGAGAGGTTATTGTTCCTGCTTCCTGCGCTGAAATTCACGGTTTAATTGAAGTCTGATCGCTTGGTTCATCGAATAACCCTCATATGGAGAGTTTGGCGCGTGTTAAGGACAATGTTTGTATCCCTGTGTCCGTTATTAGTTGGGTGTCGCTGCACTGCGGATGCCACGGTTCCCCAGGAGCCTACTCCGAATTTCCCAATTTATGTTAGAATGAGTACCAATAAAGCATTATACTTAAAAAAAGAATTACAATAATAATTATAATAGGAAAATTAAACATAAATTTACATGTGCCTAGAGAGATACACGGAATTACCACTTTGGCAACGTTTACGTGGTGGATCTAGGAATTTGAAATAGAGGGGCTCAGGGAGGGTCTGGACCGCCTTAACCTCAACCAAGAACAATTATGGTTATGTCACCTCCAGATGGCCGAAAAATTTAGGGGAAGGGAGGACCGGGCCGGATTTCTCCTCCCCTTGAATCAGCCACTGATTTACTTACTCTTGTCAATCCTGCAAACGTATCCTTGGTTGTTGTAACATTCGATGTCGTTCCATTTACCGTATGGTCGTAGTACTTCCACGCAGTTTTCGTGTTCACCGTTATGGATAAGACTTGGCTCGCCATCGTTCCAGTTAGTGTAATCAACTGGGGTGTTATCTGACCATGCAAATCCGCCTAAATATAGAGAGGGTTTGGAATTTATGGGAAGATGACTCTCTGTTATGTACCCTGAAGCCTTTTGCATCAGTAAGTTTTTCATTTGTATTCCAATTGCTCTCTTCGGCTAGTGTAAGCCTAACTCAAAAATATAGCAAAATAAATTTAGAGGCGAAGGTGTTTTTCGGTTTTCAAATAATTTAGATGAACGCACATAGCGAAAACCAGCCCCATGAAATTTACCGTTTTCATATGCAAATTAGCAAAAATATGCAAATTACTATAAATCCCTAATTTCCCTATATTTCCTGAACAAATGATCTATTTGTATTTTTTGGGTCACACTATTATATTTTCATAACATGTGCATCGATTTAAGGCAATTCATACGGTTAAATACTATCCTTTACTTGTTAATATGCAAATTAATTCACCGTATTAAGCAAACAATCCCCTCCAACAATAATTGGTGCATCCAAAATACTAAAAGTCTCTGCCATTATTAATGATAGTAGCTTTATACAAATTAGTTTTAGTCCATCTTTACATAGTAATTAAAAGTGTTCTAATCAGAAATAGAAGTAAACGTTCCTAACCGGCATCTGTTCTGTAAAGGCCGACCCATAAATCCAAGCCGGAATCTGTTGCTTTTTTCGAGATGAAATCATTGTCTGCTTTCGTGTGGATACTAGCAAGATGCGCGCCAATCCGTGCACAGCTAAATTGGGCTTCAGGCCATGAGATTGTTGATCTTCCGTTGAGTTCAAAGTAGTAACAGTAACTTCCGAATGGTTCCCAGTCTGTTGGGCATGTGCCAGGAAGGTCAGGAGGGTTGGTTGGTATTGGTGCTGTAAAGAATATTGGGAAAAAAAATTGAAATACTGCAGTACTAACTGGTTGCCCAACAGTAGACCGAAAGAAGATATGCAGGCTTAAAGGAGGTCATCTCTCTTGAAAGGCTTATCTGCTAATGAACACAGAAGTACAAGCTTAAAATAATTTCTCTGAGAATCAGTAAAAGTGTCCTCCTTTTTCTCACTATTTTCACAAGATTTTATAATGTACGAGATCAATGTATGTACTATTACTCAAATACAGAAATTATCTCAACATGAACATTATCTGTGTACTTTTCAAAGAGGTAGCTTCTCCCTCACACTCAATAGTGTTTTTTTTTTAATTAGGTGAAATGATATTCAAATTGATTCATGTCCGGAGAGTGTCATTTTAGTTCATCCAAATGTGCCATTGCCATAATATCTCAGCCACAACCATGGTGGGGCTTGATGTGGCCATCTAGACCCTCCGTTATGTAAAGTCCTGCTTTGGCCTCTTATTTTCGATTCACTGTGGAGAATTCCATTCCATTTCCATTCAGTATCAGGATTGGTAATTGTAGACAAGAACAGTAACACTAAGATTTGCGAATTAATTAACTAATATATGTTTGATCATGATGATTGCACTTACCTAGGGAGTACTTGCACAGAACAGGATGCTGGTCATTGCACTTAGTATCGTCCCAATAGCCTTTAGCATCGATCATTACACAACCTTCGCCAGGACCATAACTTGGTTCATTGCTCCCCCATTTAGTATACCACACTGGCCATCCGTTCACCCATCGATACTCACCGGCAATCTATGTAATGATTTCAACTAATTAAACTTTTATGTTTTATTGAATTTATTTGCTTTTCTCGAATGGAGGAAGCAGCTATGGAATTTATAATTCCCATTGTGATTCTGTCATTTCGTCGTTTGATTTCATGATTTTTCTACCGTAGGTGAACCTGTAAAAATTCTCATATATTTATCCGTTGATTGGCTATATTACAGCGCGTGCCTGACTTTTTCGACACGCACCCGTATGTCACTATACGTAATTCTATAACTTATAAACATAATTAGATAATTGTACCTTATCGTCAACCATGCCAATCCAAGTTTCTCCTCCTCCATTGTCACCAATGATTTGCTCAATAAACGCTTGTTCATAGACATCCACAACGTTTGCTATCGAAGCACCGTTACCAAGGTTTGTGCACGTAGTTATAGCCTTGCTAAATTCAAAACTACCATCCACGTATTGGAAACAACCGTCGTAATATTGTCGATACCCGCTTTGGCATGTTGTACTTGTAACCGGGGGCTCTGGGGCATTGCTATCTGAACAGATTATAAATAAGTATGTTTAAATATGTGACATTCTACTCTGAAAGTTCCGACTGAACCTGTACCTACCTGTTAGGCAGATTGATGATGGTAGATAATCAGAATGTTCTCTTTTCAAGCTTTGATTTTAATGTGGTAATTATAAGGAAAGCAATTATAACGTCAAAAAGAAGAAGAAGAAAAAAAAACAGAAGTACAATGCAAAACAAGTAGTGCAAAACAAACAAGGCACAGTGAAATTTCAGGTTTTGTGGGTTGTCATTTTGGAGTTTGATAAGAAAATTATTTTATGTTTTAGATTGCATGATAATTTTATGACTCAGCAAGAAAAAGGTATCATACCAAAGGCATCCTGGCATATATAACCATTCATTTTATCACACGAATTATCATTCCACAGACCAGCTTGGTACTCGCTCCCAATCAGTTCTACGCAATCTTCCTGTAAAGACAAACAATTTGCTTTCACTTAATCTACTTCCAACCAAAAAGACTAAAGATTTAAAATAAAACTTTGAATTGCTTATTTAAAAGAACCACGTAAGTTACTGACCTTCAATATGTCCATGAACTGAAACGTTTTTACTAGAAAAATGATTAAAGTTTATAGAGAAAGCAATTATTCTTTCTATTTATTTTTTAAAACTAAAATGGTGGTATATCTATAGATACTACTGTGTAGAGCTAATAAACAAGGACAATGAAAGTCAATTCGAATTGCTTTTGCCGGGCACACTGCACCGACGGTTGTCAAACCTGACGTGCGCAAAAGATCTTTTCAATGACCATCCGCCTAGTCTGCCATTGTTGATAGTTAATAGACGGTGTTGCTTCGTAAAACTCACAGAGAGCGATGACGGATTCGTCGATCGACGAACGCATTGTATGCCCAGCATAACAAAACACACTGCACCGACAGTTGTCGGACAAAGCGATTTCAGGTGGAACTCGACCAGACGTGTACAAAGGATCATTTTAATGACAATCCGCCGAGTCTGCCATTAATAGTTAGTAGACGGTGTCGCTTCGTAGCTCACACTGAGAGCGATGATGGATTCGTCGACCAACGAACGCAGTGTGTGGCCCCGGCTCAGTACAGGTATACGTACAATACATAGTTATACAATTAAAATAAAAAAATGTATCCAACTTGAATCCCAACACGATGGCGTGCATTTAAATAGTTGGAGTATTATACTTTATCCAACTGACTCATACGTAATACCGTTTTTATAGTATTTGTCTTTTTTAATTGGCTGATATTTCCTTTAAGTGTTTTAAAATTCTTCGAAATTCAAATTCAAGTAAATTTTGTGGAGTTTTACAGATTTTATCATAGGCATCTTTAAACAGTTTGAGTAAAACCATTTGCTCGTAGGATAATATGGTAATGCTGATGAATTTTCAATATTGCCTCTGCATGTGTTACAATTAATGTAGGCTCATATTATCTTATTTTTATTTAAATCCGAATGAGCATGGTATCGTAGTTAGCTACGTGATATACTTAATTAAATCTTTTTTTATTTAGTAGATGATTAGGCCCACAACATGTTTGCATCAAAACTAGGACAACACTATACTTGTGCAGCACTGACTAAAATAATTGATTTTATGTTTTTTCTAGAAATTATATATATTTTTTTTATTTATTTTATTTTTTTTAATCAAAACTCAAACTGAAACAAATCAATTGAGACGACTGACCCCTCCACCGGCCTCATTCGGCTCTCCACCGGCCCAATTTGTATAATCCACAGTCGTTCCATCAGTCCAGCGAAACTGTTTGTTGGTTGTTAGATCACTCAATCCAATCCACATACGATAATCCAGACCTTTTAGCTTGGTGGTAAGAAAAGCTGAAATTGTAGGAATATTTTTTTTTGTACGCATTCGAGTTATTTAAAAAATATATGACGTATTTTGAATTATTACATATGTAATTCGTGTATTTTGAAGGCCTAATGACCAGTCTTTCAAGAAGCTGAGTATGATGTCCATATTAGGCGTTTTGTTTCAGTGGACGAGGCAATGTGACGCGCCAAGGGGCCTAATTTAAAATCAGCTGATCATGCCTAATTTTATAAACATTTTTATAAAGATAGTATTGCACTATCACACTGGTCAGGGTCCAGTTCTCTAGTGCATACAGTACAATATATGTAGTGATCTAACGATCTTTAAGTATACCATTAACACGCTGGTCATGTATAGTGACAAGATCTCCGCCGACGTTGCGACACTTGTCTCTTGCGTCCCTCCAACCAAAGCGATCCGATTCGATAGATCCGTGGAACTGATAACATCGCTTGTTAAACTCAATCCAGCCAGAAGGACAGTTGCCCTGTGGCAAAGCAGTTGTTGGTGGAGCGTTAGTAACTATGCTTCCAAACGGCTTCTTGCAAATGAATGGAATCTTGTCACCACAGTTCAGATCATTCCATGAACCAACTGTGAACGAGAAAATATATACATTATCATTATTATTTAAATATTACTTATTTTATTTTATTTTATTTTATTTTTATAATATTCAAATTCAATATCCACATGTGACCAATGTCACTCTTTACTGGATGAAATAATAATAATAATAATAATAATAATAATAATAATAATAATAATAATAATAATAATAATTATAATAATAATAATAATTAATAAATAATAATAATAATAATAATAATAATAATAATAAAATAATAATAAAAAAAAAAAAAAAAAATAATAATACACTTCGATTCTATCCGTTACTGGTGTATTCTTATGTTGTGCACCTGAACTACTACGTAGTTCGTCAATCTTCGGTAAAGGATTCGACAACAGCAGAGGCCAAAAACAGCCTGAATATGTTGGTCACAATACAGGTGACAGTTGTGTTTCTTTTAATAATCGCGCCAAATTATATCTTTATTTTAATTCATATAGAGTTAACTGTTTCTAACTTAACGCATTCATCCATTTATAAATTGTATATTATTTGAGTTTTTTCAATGTGGACTTCGAGGGATCAAACATGCGAAAACAATAAACATGTTATGATTGATATCATACAGCAGTGTTACATTATTATACTATTAAACCAAAAGTAAACTTTGTCACTTTCAAAGGGGACAGATGTCTTTAATAAGAAATTAAACCCCAAAAAAGTAAACTACCATAGTAAAAACAGAAAACTCCCAATTTTAAGTGCCTATTAAAAAAAACCAGTAAGACATTGATTGATTGGTCGATCGATCGATTTATATCGATGTCGATACCAATCGATCAGTATCGATTGGTTGGCTATTTGGTTTGCTTAGTTGATAGGTCGACCCATCATCAATCGATTTATAGATTACAATTTACAGTTACTTACATTATCGTTTATGAAATTCATCTCCGGCTCATTATGAATGGAAGCGAGTTTACCGTTGTGTACATGGCAGTAGCCATCGGCTTCCTGCCACGATAACCGACCACTTCCAGAAGCCTTACTAAAGTAGTAGCAATAGTTATCGTATCGAATCCATCCTTCGCTGCCGGGACACAGTGGATCTGTAAGTTGATAATGTTAATAATATTTATGGCATACCAAACACGTAAAGCACGCAGAAACCGTTACACATTACAATCTGTCTCTTATACACATCTAGATGTGTATAAGAGACAGCAATACAGGTGACAGTTGTGTTTCTTCCAATAATCGCGCCAAATTATATCTTTATTTTAATTCATATAGAGTTAACTGTTTCTAACTTAACGCATTCATCCATTTATAAATTGTATATTGTTTGGATTTTTTCAATGTGGACTTCGAGGAATAAAACCAATAAACATGTTATGATTGATATCATACAGCAGTATTACATTATTATACTATTAAATAATTAACAGAAAGCATAGGCATAGAAAGAGTTTTTGTTAAAACTCTACTCGTAAACAATTTATTACATACTTGAGGTGTAGAGCTCAACACACTGTTCCTCTCCGTTGAAGTCATTTGGCTCACCAGGCGCCCAGTTGACGTAATCAAACGGCGTAGAATCTGACCACCTGAATGTAAATTACAAAACATGAGGACTAAATGCTGGTTTTGCATAAGTTTTCATCATTTTCAAATAATTTACTCTGTAGAATCTTTGATATAACTTTGCACAACAAAACAACTTACGTGTAGACACCCCTGATTTCGTATTCTCTTAGACCTATCCAGTAGGAACTAATTGTGATATCAGTCTACAAATAGTAATCATATTATATATCTATTAATTATTTAACACATTGTTCAGGTACACGATACTATAATATACGAGGCAGTATCATAATTATATTATTTATTTTGTATTAACATAAAATTGAAACTTAACAATATAAAACTTATATTTCATGAAATGAAATGTCAAACAGGATTGACCAAAAGTAAACTTTGTCACTTTCAAAGGGGACAGATGTCTTTAATAAGAAATTAAACCCCAAAAAAGTAAACTACCATAGTAAAAACAGAAAACTCCCAATTTTAAGTGCCTATTAAAAAAAACCAGTAAGACATTGATTGATTGGTCGATCGATCGATTTATATCGATGTCGATACCAATCGATCAGTATCGATTGGTTGGCTATTTGGTTTGCTTAGTTGATAGGTCGACCCTTCATAAATCGATCTATAGATTACAATTTACAGTTACTTACATTATCGTTTATGAAATTCATCTCCGGCTCATTATGAATGGAAGCGAGTTTACCGTTGTGTACATGGCAGTAGCCATCGGCTTCCTGCCACGATAACCGACCACTTCCAGAAGCCTTACTAAAGTAGTAGCAATAGTTATCGTATCGAATCCATCCTTCGCTGCCGGGACACAGTGGATCTGTAAGTTGATAATGTTAATAATATTTATGGCATACCAAACACGTAAAGCACGCAGAAACCGTTACACATTACAATGTGCTCTCATATTGATATAAACTGTCAATTACAATTAGGATAAAGAATAATTTTAATAAAAATACACCTTTGGAAGTGTAATTGACGCTTTCTGTACTTCTAAACACTCAAAAATTGGGTTTTCTTAGCATAGTCTCGTGTGGTTGAGCATGTTTCTACCTATCATGTCTATGGGGACTGTTAGCGGTACGACGGTGTCTGCCTATGACCGACGCTTGCAGCGTTTTTACGTTGGTGGACCTTTCTTTATCACTCGACCATGTCCACCTGTACTGTTTTGTACTCCTACTTTTGAAGTCGTTAGGAGGTTGGCTTTACCCACCAGAACCAGAACACAAGACATTTTCGGAACACAACATTTTCGGAAAGGTTGACAGCGTATCGATACTTACAAGCTGTTGGGGTGTTTGGTGGAGCAACCGTGACCGGCATTGAACCTGTGAGCCAAATAATTTAAAGACAAAAGAACGGTTTATTAATATTCAAACAGATATAGAGCATGGAATGAGGACATACAATAATATATTTGATTCATATACAGGTCGTGAAGAAATTTGGAAATCACGAAGTCAACACAATTTTTGGCTAAATTTGCTCTTACATTAAGTAAAGTTTCCCGTGACAATAAACCCATATTATATAAACATGTAACAGTTTGAAATTAGGCTATGTTATGAAGCTCTGTTCTGGAACATTAACTCACCTTATCTGTACACTTTAATTTCATAAAACCCTTAATTTACAATATATCTTTTTACTTATATTATTTGAATTTTCTTTCAAACTTGATTTTGTGATGTATTTATGCATTTACTAAAGCATAATGCTATAGTCGTTTTAAAATTTATTTACAACATTAATTTTGAATATTTTCCTGTTTCTTTACTAAACTGTTGGATTGTTTTAAATAAATATGTTGAAATACATTTAGATGGTTATGTAGTGTATTATAACTATATCAGCAAAACAAACAAAATGATATTGATAGGAAAGCAAACTTGAATTGTGATGTACTTTTGCAGTTACCAAAGCAAATCCTATAGTCGTTTTAATAATTTACTGACAGCATTAGTGTTTTTAATATTCTGCTGTTTCCTTACTTAATTGTGTAATTTAATTTCAAGTGTTTTCATATAGCCACGTAGTGTATGGAGAAACCAATTAGACAAACAAATAATAGGAAATCAAAAATAATAGGCCTATAATAGGCCTATGTTTAGTACCAGACCTTTGGCAATTTTGCAGACCCAGTGTCTCGTACGATCGCAGCCGATGTCGTTCCAGTTACGGGTAGAGAAGAACATTTCTACACAGTCTTCTTCATTAACGTTGTTAGGTTCTCCATTTTCCCAATTTGTATAGTCAACTGGGGTTCCATCAGTCCATGTGAATCCTACAAGTGCAATGTTACAATATAATCTATAGTGTTTATTATTATTTATTGTTATTATTATTATTATTATTATTATTTTTAATATAATAATAATAATATTATAAATATTATTATTATTATTATTATTATTATTATTATATTGTTATTATTATTATTATTATTATTATTATTATTATTATTATTATTATTATTATTATTATTATTATTTGTTGGTGTTGTGTTCTTGTTATTGGCGTTGTTGCTGTTGCCGATGCTGTTGTTAATATTAATTATTATATTAGTTTTACTTATAATTCTCATCATTGCCACCCTCATCTTCACCATTCGTATGTATTATTCTAATTTGTATGATAATTATCATTAAACATCAACGGCACCAAAGTTATCCTTTTTATCATCATCTTCCTTGCGATAGTATTAGTACTATTATTAATTTTAGCTGTTGGTGTTGTTGTGTTGTTGATGTTGCTGCTGATGTTGTTATTGTTAATATTACCTTAGTTATACATATTCACATCATCATTCCCATCATCATCATCATCAACATCATCATCATCATCACAATCATTTACCTCATCACCATCCTCATTATTATTATCACCATCAACATCCACACTGTCACTATTTCTTCTCTATTAGAAACATGTTCTCACCATTTTCTTTTGTCTGATCGCTGAGTCCAATCCAATATCCAGTTGCTGAATCACTAAAAATAAACACATTAAAAATACAATGCCGAAGTGCAACGTTAAGTACACGAAATATGTTTAAGGTTTTATTAATTTACTTACGCGACTTTTGCTGCGTTCTTTATGAACTTTTCTTCAGCCGAAGTGTGGAAGCTGGCAAGATTTCCTCCTTGTGCGCGGCAAAATGATGAAGCTTCTGACCACGTCTTTAATTGTTTGGTCGTACTAACTTCATTAATCTACAATAGAATACAGGTTGACTGATATCAGTATAATAATAATAATAATAATAATAATAATAATAATAAATATAATAATAATAATAATAATAATAATATACAATTATAGTCACAATATATAACATCCTAAAATTGGTATCTTATTAGTAAAATAATGGTTTCTTTAACTTTTATTAGGTAATTTGTTTAAATATGTTCATTCAATGGTTCAATGATGCTGAAAGGATTCCATCTAGTCAACGACATTAGTATATAGATTTGTTTGTTTTTAATAATTCATACATTCATTCATTCATACATTCATTCGTTCATTCATTCGTTCGTTCGTTAGCTCACTTTTTGCTCTTTCGTTCGTTCGTTCGTTCATACATTCATTCATTCGCTCTTTCATTTATTGATTCACTCATTCTTTCCATTCATTCAGCCATTTATTTATTTATTCACTCATTCATTCCTCCATTATTCATTTGTTTATTCATTCAGTCAATCAATCATTTTTCCATTTATTCATGTATTCGTTCATTGATTGAATTATTCGTCATTTATTTATTCATTCATCCATCCATTTATTCATTCATCCATTTATTCATTCATTCATTCATTTATTTATTCATCTACACATTTACTCATTCATTTATCAACTTCAAAATTTAATTTGAAAATGCAACGTCGAAACAGATCAATTAGTAACTTACCCGATAACAGTTGTTACCATACCCAATCCAACCAGGAGCGCATCCGGAGCTACTTGGGTCCGTTGGGTCGTATGTAACTATGGGTTTGTCGGTGAATCCAAAACGTAACTTTTCACAAATGTAATTGTACGAAGAATCACAAGCGGAGTCTGACCATAGTCCCGCCGATTTACCAGACGACACTGCTACACATTTACCATCTCTGTCGTCTAAAATACAACGAAATAATATAATTCACACAAGGTTCATCATGATACATGTAAGAAGAATATTTTTTATTATCCCCTAGGCCTATAATAATAAACAAAATTGTACAGTATCAGTAACGGGGAACAAGTAAAGTTTGGTAACATCATTTGGTGTATTATGTAGAACATTTGATCCTGACACATGGGGCCTGTGACATGAACAGTGGAGTGCTATTCTTGGTTGAGTTGGAAAGGTTCAACATTGGTGACAATTCCCTCCTTGTTTTTTAAGTGAAATTGTTTTTAAAAGTGATCAACGACTTAACTGACTGAGGATTCGCTATATATCTGTATTCCAACTAGCAGTTTTGATGGAATAGAACCAAGAAAATCACTCAATCACTAAAAAGAATTAGTGAATCAATGAATGACTCACTTACTCATGCCTGCGTAGTTAAGCTTACACACATGCATCTTCAGTTTTTACTATTATTCGATGATAATCACCTTTAATAGGTTTTTTCTTTTATCACGCTTAGAGTTGAAAAGCTAACCAATATATGTTAATACCGTCAAGTTTTGCTGTTATTCATGTGTAAAAATATTGTAAAGAAAAGGAGACAATTTCTGATACAGGCCAAATGATACCTGGTTGCCCTTTGTCCCAATTGGTGTACGCCACCGAAGAACCATCGCTCCATGTGTAAGAACCATCGTCTTGTTTCACGAGACCACACCAGTAGTACTGTCCACTTGCAAGACCTAGTTGACTGGATATGAATGTCTGCTCAAACCTAAAATAATCAAATATATAATTACAAGATTCAATTTTTATTCAGAAGTTTAATGTTGTTTGAGCAATCTCGAGTCATATCCCCATTGGCAATAACAATGATTTTATAAACATTTACACTAGCACCAGCAGCAGAGTGACGTCACAGATGATAATTGTCCATAATTATATAGCGATTATTATCATTTGAGGTAGAGCAAAATTTGGCAATGGTGGAAACCTTTATACTTTATTGTAATTTATGTCAATTTCAGATTCAGATTTTATCTGCTAGTACAATTTACAATTTGATTTGATTGTATATTCGAATTAGCCGTTTTATGCCATAGTAACTACATGAACATGGGCAAAATATCAAATGAGTGTCGTTAGTTTTATGCAATGCTCAATTCAACAGCTTCTTAACTCCACAAGCCTCTTTCCTTCCTTTAGCTCTTAATTTCCACCCGTTATTTACGAATTCACTGGCAATCTGTGACGTGGCAGTATTTTTTTCGCGGCTAATACTTCTATTCACCTTGGTTTGCATTGGTGTTGATATTATTTTATGTATAATTTATATTTAAAAATTAATTTAATAAAAAGTATTATTGGCATTGTATTGTGTCAAAGTTCACCTGTCGTTGATTGACACTAGATGTCCCGCCATACTCAGGCAGCTCTGTATTGCAGAATCTGACGTCACTGTCGTCGTACTTACAAACATGTAACAAGAATAGTCGTAAGCGATCCAACCCTGAAAATATACCAAATAAATTCAATTTTCTAAACTGTAAGACATTGGTACATTGTTTACTTTCAACAAGAAAGAGAAATGTGGGGAATTGAGCTGTAAAAGCTCACTAAATCTAGGCCCAGATATTGTATTTTAGAGTGAACGTATCTTGCTCGACTGACGGTTCAAGAACGAGGAAAATAGAATAATGATAAAGAGTGGAAGTACAGTAGGACGTGATACGTGTGACTCGAGTTAATACCTCCGCCAAAGAGGTTATGTATTCACCACTGTCTATCTGTCTTTCAAATTCACGGTCATGGTCAAGGTCACGGAAACTCGACTTTTTCCCTTAAACTTGCCCCTGAACATAAAAGAAAATAATGGAATCGCCCATACACAGCCTAAGTATTGTCCAGGCACAGAGCAGAAGTATGCACTATATGGAGTCACTGCTCTAGTTTTGGCCATGTACCACGTATGCTTGAGAATTAGTAATTGCGTTGCCTACTACTGGTACTTATTGCGTAACATTTGTAATTATTCTTAAATATTTGATGATAAAATCAATAGTAGGCGCGTTAATAATATCTTCATCAATAAGATCTTGTTTACTTGTTGACTTACTTGATCACATCCAGATGGAGTAGGAGGAAATTGTGTTGGAGGTAGGTTTTCCTTCTTTCGCTTGCAGATGAAGCGTCTCCTGTTCACGCAATCGTTATCATTCCATGCTTTCTAATGAAGGGTAAATGCATAAAGTATTGAAAATCATATTACTATTAACATAGAGGTCTTTTTTGTATAGGCTATCGAAGTGCCTAATAATATTAAACAACCTCAAAATTGTAATTCAAATAGCAAAAATTAAAGCATGAACAATTAATCTAGTTTGTATTAGAGTAATATTGATAATTCTTTATTTAAAATATACATATATTTCACTGTTCATGTATGTACAGTAGATTCCATTGTTTGTGATACAGTATCTACATCAAGCGATGCAAAAAGTAGTTCGTATGGGAATGATAAAGTTATGTTGACTTCCAACTCTCCTTATTTTAGAAAAAAAAAATCCACTTGGAATTATATTTACATTTGTGTACATCTCAACGCAGTCTTCTGCACTTCCTTGATGATTATTGGGTTCGTTTGTGTTCCAGATAGCGTAGTCCATATCGGACCCATCACTCCATGTGAAACTCATCTGGTACGTCAAGTCATTTAAACCGATCCAAATATTACCGCTTGAAGCTGTAGAAATAAAATATCAATAACATTTTAGAAAGCAGGCTCAGTTTAAACCGACAGCCTAGGGAGGGTGCACGGGGAACTTAGAACACACAATAGCACTTCAGTAGTAATAATCCTTGATAATTATCCTAAAATGTTCTAATTAAAATAATAGAAATGGGAATCGTCAATATAATTCTGATGAAGAGGAATGATCTCTACTCTGTTTAAACCGACTTTTAAAAATATTTGCACTGTCTTTAAAATGTATACACTTTCATTTTTTTCCCCAAAATTCTAATTTCTTTGTTTAAGGGCAAAGCTTAACTTCGACCATGCCTATAATTATTCCCAAGAACATTTAGCAGCTTGTATGGATACCTTTTTTTCGAAATACCATATTAAATAAATAAATTTACCAGCTGTCTGGAGAGAATTAATATAATTGTTCTCATTGTCGTTGTGAATAGAAGCAAGATCTCCTCCCATTCCACGACAGTTGTCTCTAGCTTCAGACCAAGTTCCATCAGTACTTGAAAGGAAGTAACAATATTTGTCGTATGAGTTCCATCCATCTCGGCAGCGATAGCCAGGGGGCGGGGTTGTAGGTGGCATCTCGGTTGTAGCGTCCATCACTAGAATAGAACAAAAATGTTCTTGTCAGCATTTTTCAACTAATTGGGTTCTATGATTTTAATTTTTAATTTTATTTAGGCATCAGACTAATAATTTTAGACCAATAAGTAAGGGAAACTGTTTATGGTGCAATATCAATACATTAATACGGAATTATAACAAGGATAGCCCATAAAGATAGGCCTACTCGAGACGAAGTGTTCGTTAAAAAACCCATCAACAATACCACACTAAAAGGTGAACTAGTGTAGAATGTTTTCACCCAGTTGTCGAGAGTTGGGTCATCTCCTGCCTCAAAAACGCAGCTACTCCAAGAATTAGCGGTTGCACCTATCTTTTGTTTTTTATTCCATCAGTATTTTCCACTATGCTATGCGGAAATGTCGATGAGGTTTGCATTCCAGTAAACAGTCTTTTAAGACCGGTGTTTAATGGATGAAACAAGCCACTTCCCAAACCTTAGTTCGGCATCTAATTTCTCGCAGTTGAGAATAAGTAAAAAACAGTATTTCTGATATAAGTACAAAAAGAATGAAAGCAACTCACATCTTTCGTAATGGTCGTACGGAGATCCATCATAAGTGGTCTTTAGGCCGCCAACCATATCCTTATCTTTATCGCTTAAATCACATTCCTGGGAGTTCTTGTAATAGTCAAAAGACCGGCAGGTAAACGAAGTTTCTCCGATACAACGTTTTGCACAGTCTTCTGGGAAGACGTCCGTCAGGTGGATATTATTGTACCCCTCAATTGCTGAGTTAGGATATGTGTTGTAATGTGATACTATGTATCCTGAAATATTAAACACCATAGAATGTTATCTAAATCAAAATTGTTGTTGGTCCACACATGTCTGCTACCATTAACTCATTGCTTGATATTGAAATAAGGAGACCAGTGTGTTTGAAATTTGCAACTGGTTGTTAGAAACATAAATGTGGGATCTTTCTAAAACATCCTGTTTTTAGGAGTAGCATAGTCACATCAATATAGAACGATTACAAGATATAGCATTGAATAATTGAGATTTTACCGTCTTTCTTGCAGATATATCCAAGAGTATTAGAACATGATTGGTCATTCCATAATCCTGTTTTGCTGTACAATTCTAAACAATGCTCTCCCAATGCGCCTACATTGTTCGGTTCACCTAAACCGAAGAAAAACAAGAATTAATGTTGATAACATGATGCGCTACGAACTTGGTAATGGCGCCAGAAATTCCTGGACGATGTGTGGTCCAAGGTCTCTGACGAGATGCTCAAAGAGTTCCAATTTCACTTCAAACCGGCCGTAATTTGAGCAAATATTGAGAATAGACCTATAAATGCCTCGATATAGTCAGCATTCCAATGACGGAGGATTTATGGTTATCCCACATGAGAGTTCTGCCTCTTGGACACCGGCCCTCTACCGTAGGCGCTGTCACTTATTCCACATTTATTATTTTTTTTCCGTTGTATGCTTGGCGAAAGTTTGTTTGGATAGAAAATAGTGTTTACCTGCATTCCAATTCAGGTACGCAAATGGGCTGCCATCAGACCAGCGCCATCCACCTTCTGTGGTCTTATCGTTACCTCCGGTCCACAGAGCACCTTCGTTTATGTACACAATGCGAGCTGAATACAAGAATATATCATTAAATTCGGTATATCTATGTGGTCGTTATATTAATCATTTAAATAATTATATATATATAAATTAATCATATA